ACCAAGCTTCACCGCCTGGAGAGGAGGACATCGGAGGACAGGTTAAAGCCACCACAGAAATTACACGTGTTTGTGGGGGGAGGGAGCTAGAGACCGTGCAAATATCCTCTCTCACTTTAAAGTTTCACCCACTAATTTGAGCTTTCATAGGTGGGTTTGGCCTGCAGAAATTCTTCCTGTGGTGCTCTGGGGGTGATTTTTCTAATTCTCTCAATAATCCGTTATGCGTATTTTTTTTTTACATTTTATAATTAATCATGCTTTTATTTAAAAAAAATTTTTTAACGTTTATTTATTTTTGAGACAGAGAGAGACAGAGCATGAACAGGGGAGTGGCAGAGAGAGGGAGACACAGAATCTGAAGCAGGCTCCAGGCTCTGAGCTGTCAGCACAGAGCCCGACACGGGGCTCGAACTCACAGACCGTGAGATCATGACCTGAGCCGAAGTCAGACGCTTAACCGACCGAGCCACCCAGGCGCCCCAATCATGCTTTTTTTAAAGTGTATTTATTTTGAGAGAGAGAGAGAGAAGGTGCACACCAGCGGGGGAGGGGCAAAGAGAGAGGAAGAGAAAGAATCCCAAGCGGGCTCCATCCACACTGTCAGCGCAGAGCCCATTGTGGGGTTCGAACCCACAAACAGTGAATGAGCCCCCCAGGCGCTCCTACCGGTAATCATGTTTTAAAGTGTAGTACACGGGGCGCCTGGGTGGCTCAGTTGGTTAAGTGGCCGACTTCAGCTCAGGTCACGATCTCACGGTCCGTGAGTTTGAGCCCCGCGTCGGGCTCTGGGCTGATGGCTCAGAGCCTGGAGCCTGCTTCGGATTCTGTGTCTCCCTCTCTCTCTGCCCCTCCCCCGTTCATGCTCTGTCTCTCTCCGTCTCAAAAATAAATAAACGTTAAAAAAAAAATTAAAAAAATAAAATAAAAATAAAGTGTAGTACATCCTACGTGGTTGAAAAGTGAAAGGGAGTGGAAGCTTACGCGGTGCCGGTCTCCCTTCCAGTCCTACCCCCGCCACCCTTTCCCCGGTCTCCTCCCCGAGGCAACCAGTCAACAGGGATTTCACGCATGCACACGCCACGTCCACCAATATTCTCCTTTTTCCACAAACGGTTTGAAAGTATTCATAGAATTCCGCACCCTATACCTTTCCATCTAACAATATAACTTGGACATCAGTCCAGATCAGTACTTAAGGATCTTCTCATTCTTTTACACGGTGTTCCGGTGTCCCTGTAACATAGATGTGCCCCGCTTTATTAACTAAGTCCCCTACCAATGAGCATGTCAGCTGTTTCCAAATGTCTTCTCTTACAAACGATACTGCCGTGTTCCTGCATGTGGAATTGAACCTATAGGTATACCTGCACGAGAGGGAGGGACCAAAGGGCATGTGTATTTTCCATTTGGATATTGCCATACTGCGTTTCTTGGAGTCGGGGCTGGTTTACACCCTGTGTTAGTTTCCTAGGGCTCCTCTGCAAAGTACCGCAAACTACGTGGCTTAAAACAACAACAATGTATTGTCTTACAGTTTAGGAGTCTGGAAGTCTGAAATCTGAAGTCAGTTTAGGAGTCTGGAAGTCTGAATGGGAGGCCATTCTCCCTCGGAAGCCTTTAGGGAAGAAGGCTTTTTTGCTTCTTCTAGCTTCTGGAAGTTACAGGCAATCCCTAGTTTTCTTGGGCTTATAGACGTATCACTCCACTCTCTGCCTGTCTTCACATGGCCGTCTGCCCTCTGTGTGTGTCATCTCCAAATTGCCCTTTCTTACTGGAACACTGATTATTGGATTAGGGCCCATCCTAATCTAATAGGACCTCATATTAACTTGATTATATTTGCAAAGACTCTATTTCTTTAAAAAAAAAAAAAAAAGGATTTTAAGTAATCCCTACATCCAACGTGGGGCTCGAACTCACAACCCTGAGATCAAGAATCACATGCTCTACTGACTGAGCCAGCCAGCTGTCCCACAAAGACCCTATTTCCAAATAAAGTCACAGTCACCGACTCCAGGTGGACATGAACTTTAGGGAAACAGTATTCAACCCAGTACATATTCCCACTGGCAAACTATGACAGTGAAACAGCCTGCTTTGACATTCTTCAAGGATTCACGTGACAGTTGGGAATTCACTTTGGTTATTGGATTCTGCTTCTCGGAAATAAGATACTCTGTGGGGATGGGGCTCTGTGGGGGCGTGGGATTTATTGGGGTTACAAGAGCAGGGTCGGCTTCCTACGTGGCAGCTGGAAAGAAAAGCTCATGTGCCATAGATCTTCTGGGGTGGATGTCTACCTCCCTTTTCTGGGCCATCTTGTCAATGTGAAATTCTATCCCTGGTCCTGATCAGCTGTGGGCACTAACCCAGAGTACCCAGGTCAGAGGTCACACACGGCCACTCACGGGTTATTCCCTAGGAATGTCTTGTCTTGGGCAACGCCTAGTTAAATTCTGAAACAGATACAAATGTTTAAAAATAGGTACGTTTCAGATAAAAATTTGGATTCTAACTTCTCTGGAAAGAAATGTCGGTTAACACTGTGCTCGCATTTCCACAGGGCAAGAAACATTCCTGAATACACTTACTGGCATTTGATATCGTCTCCCCAGCTCTGGGCCTTCAAACCAAGGGGCAGTTCAGTGCGGTGGTGCAGGTTGTGGACTCAGGAGCCCGACTGCCTGCATTTGAGTCCCATCTCCTCCCCTTGCTACCTGTGTGTCCTTGGGCAAGCTGCTCGGTGTTCCCGAGCCTCACCGTCGTTCTCTATAAAACTATGATTGATTGATTCAACCCATTTTATTGAGTATCTACTATGTGCCAGACATTTTCTAGGCGCTTGGGACATGCCAGTAAATGGAGCAAGGAAAGATCCTCCTTCTTGTGGAGATCATACTGCGGCAGGGGGTAGACAAGTGGCAAACACTAACAGGTAAGTGATATAGTATACTGAAAGGTGATAAATGCTATAGGAAAGCAAAAACCAAACTCCAAAGGGAATAAGGAATGGGGGCATGGTCGCATTTTACAACAGGCTGTTCAGGGAAGGCCTCGCTGAAAAGGGGGGCGTTTTGTGCAGGCTTGAAGCGGGTGAGGGAGTTGGCCCGCGGGTGAGCTGGGGGAAATGTACCAGCAGAAGGAACAGCTATGCAAAGGCCTGGGGCAGGAGCTGGCCTTGATGTTGGAGGAACAACAAAGAGGCGGGAGAGGAGACAAGGAGGGAGAGAGCTGAGGTCACGGGGGAAGGGAGTGTCAGTAAATCATGTAAGACCTTACAGGCCACCCAAGACTTTGGTTTTACTGTGTGAGATGGAAGCCATGGGAGGTTCTGAGCAGAGAAAGGGCATGGTTATACCCGGATCTGTCCGCTCTGCTGAGGTTAGACTTGGGGGGGGGGGGGGGGCGGTGAGGGAGCACAGAGGGGGAAAGCCGGGAGACCGGGGAGACCAGGGAGAAGCTGGTGCAATAATCTCAGAGAGAGTCGATGGTAGCTCAGGCCAAGGAGAAGCCGAAAGGACGGTGAGGAGGGGTGGGGTCAGGCTGTATTCCCAAGGTGGGCTAGCCTCCGGGTTGGATTGGAGCATGAGGAAAAGACAGGAGCCAAGTTTGCTCCAGGGGTTTGGCTAGAGCAAGCAGGGGGCTGGGGGTGGGTAGTTCCTGCAGGGGTGGATCTGGAGAGGAGGGTTGACAGAAACAGTTTGGGATAGGGGCGCCTGGGTGGCTCAGTCGGTTAAGCGTCCGACTTCAGCTCAGGTCACGATCTCGCGGTCGGTGAGTTCGAGCCCCACGTCGGGCTCTGGGCTGACGGCTCAGAGCCCGGAGCCTGCTTCCGATTCTGTGTCTCCCTCTCTCTCTGCCCCTCCCCCGTTCATGCTCTGTCTCTCTCTGTCCCAAAAATAAATAAACGTTAAAAAAAAAAAAAAAAGATCCAGTTTGGGATAGTTGGGCGAGGCCTCAACACTCAGGCGAAGACAATTGGAAATACATACCTGCAGCCTGGGAGCGGGGTTTAGGGAAAATAATCTGTCTGTAAGGCACTGAGAGCGCCTGGTGCTCCTTAAGTGCTAGTAGGGGTTAGCTGTTCCTGTTGCCCAGCTTTGGCTCCGGCTCTCTCTCCCAGTACTCCTGGCCTCATATCCCTCTCGGGGGTGGGAGCAGGGAGGATGCTGGAGAAATTTCCTTCCCAACAAATTAGCATGTAAACCCACCCTTGGGTCACTTCTCTGACCATTAGTTAAGTCATCTGTAAAACGAAAACAAGAGTCCCCTTTCTCGGAGAATTAGCCTGAGACGAGAATGCGAAACAGTGGATGTAAATGCCCAGCACCTGGTAGGTGCTTTAACAGTCTTTTCTCCTCCTTACCCTTGCCTCATGCTCAGGGAGAAAAGAAGCAAAGTCAGTATCCATCCCAGCTGTTTATTGAAAGGGAAGGCAAGACGGAAGGGGTGGGCAGGATGGGGAAGGGGCGTGGGGCACAAGGGCAGTAGTGCCGGCGGGGTGGGGGAGAACGGAGGACCCTCCCGGGAGACCCCCTCCAGGCTGGAGGTGCGACCGAGGCGGGGGGAGGGTATGGGGCGGAGGCCATCGGCGCCTCTCTCCGGCTGTCTTGGAGCTCCCTCTAGTGGTGAGAATGGAGATGATGCGTCTGGCCAGGGAGGCTGCAGGATGGAGGTGCTTGCTGGGGGCCCAGGAGGGCACATTTGTTACAGGGTGAGGTCAGGACCTGTGGGTAACCTGTGGGTGACGGTTTCTAGATGAGTGGATTTTCAGCGGCAAAGACATCCCAGTTCTCCTGACCCCTGGCTCTTATAAACCATTTAAGCGCATGTCCAAATCATCTTCTGAGCCACCAGGGACCATCAAGCCTGCAGCCAGGCTCTCTGGGCCCAAACTGTCCCCCAACCCTTGAGGCCCCCTGGAAACCAGGAAGGCGTCCAGCAGGCCCCCTGTTCCATATGTGTAGAACAAGAGCTGGCCCAGGAGGAGGCTGCAGACTGCCAGTCTCCCCCAGTCATCCGTAAACTGGGGCTAATAATAGCCCACGATTTGCGGGGGGCGGGGACCGAGGGGCTCTGATGCCAAAATGGACATAGAAAACGTTCTGAAGGAGGTGACTGTGTTCGCACCATCCTGGAGAAGTCCAAGTGGGGGGTTTTGACCCATCCTCAGGCGTCCTGGGGCAGCTGACAGATGAAGGGTTTAGGGAAAGAGGATGACCCTACCACCTTTCCCCACAACATTGCCTATGGAGAGTAATGCTTTTATCCGGGTAGAATAGGAAAGTCATGGAACTCCAGAATCTGAGCCAGTCCCCTCATAGTACATAGATAGGAACTGATGGTCTGCAAGGGTAAGGGGTTTGCCCAAGGTCGGAGTAGAGTAAGGATAGATTGAGGGGGATGTTTTCTACTCCTGAAAGGCCTTGAAAAGGAGGGAAGTTTGGGGAGGACTTGGGGAAAGTTGGCATCTTGGATGAGTTGGGGCCCAATCCCTGGGAAGGGGCATTGGGATCTGAGCTCCAGCCTCTCTGACCTGGAGCTGGATCTTATGGGGGCATAGGTGAAAGGGACCTGCTTCTCAGGGAGAAGTTAGGGACACAGTTGGAGGGCAGGGTGTGATGGGACAGAGGAATGGTCCAGACCCCAGGTCTGGCTGCCCCTCTAGCCTTGTGGGCAGCTCAAGAGTCCCTCTTGGGCTGGATGGTCTGCACAGAGGATTGCCCAAAGGGGCTGGCAGGTGGCGAAAACCAAGACTGGCCATTGGCATCACGGAAGATGGGGGACAGCTGTTGCTCTGGCTCGTCCCCGAAGATCTCCACGTGGCCATCAGCTTCGGCGTCCAAGGGTTCTGCCTTGGTGTCCTGGCTCAGCCAGCCGGCCACAGCCCAAACCAGGCAAATGGCCAGCAGGATCCCAGCCGCCACGCAGAGTACCGTGCCTGCCAAACGGCAGGTGCCCAGGGCCTGGTTGTAATCGGCTGCCCGCTGATCCAGCACCAGGAATTCCCCCTCTCCGATGCCCTCCAGCTTGGGGGGCACTGCGTAGCCAGTGGTCAGGGCCGCCACACCCAGCAACAGAAGAAGGGTCCCCGTAGACAGGCTGATCTGGAGAGAGGCAGACAGATTGGGAGGTAGTCAGGGTCAGTGGGGGGCCCCAAGGTGATCCCAAGTGGACTTAAAGGTAACTCCTTGGTCTAACCTTAGAGATGGGAATCACAGGGGAGTCACAGAACACACCTTCTAGGACCTAACTGATGAGGGGCACAAGATACCGTGTTCTGTTGCGAATCTTGAGGCCCCTTGATCAATGTCCTTCCCGACTCCCACTTAGGAACCACTTAGTAGGTTTCTCCTGCCCACCTTGAGTTTCCCGCCATCATAATTTAGGTCCCATCTCTTCTCTCTGTCCCATCTACCCCCATCTGTCTGTTGGGATAACTCCTACACATCCCCCAGATCTCATCTCAAACCTCACCTCCTCAGGGAAGCCTTCCAGGATGCTCCTGGAGTGGGTCACGTGCCCTGCTTTGGATTCATACAAACACTGCACGTTTGTTCTTCAGTGCGCTCACCTTGGTGCACACTTGGACATCTACTTTCTTGCCCATTTATTTATTTTCTAAACTTGATTTCTTTATGTTGAGAGAGGGAGCACGCACGCTCAAGAATGAGTGGGGGAGGGGCAGACGAGAGAGAGAGAGAGAGAGAGAGAGAGAGAGAGAGAGAAGCCCAAGCAGGCTCCGTGCTCAGCACGGAATCTAGACTCAGGGCTTGATCTCACGAACCGTGAGATCATGACCTCAGCTGAAATCAAGAGCTGGACACTTAACCACCTGAGCCCCCCCCAGATCCCCCTTGCACATGTACTTTCGTTACCGCGTAAGCGATGTCTGCCTGCCCCGCTGGAAAGAGGGCCCGGGGAGCTATGACAACAGACACTGTCTATTTTGGGTCACGCGGTGTCTTCCTAGCACGGTGCCGGTAAAGAGCAGGAGCTGAGGGAATGTTTGCAGAATGACTAAACGAAGCACAGCTAGGAGCGGTTAGAGAACAGGGACCGCATCTTAAATTCTCTGTGCACAAGAGCCTCGCTCCCTGCCCGGGAATTAGAAGATGCTCAAAATTTTAGGCTACGGACTCACTTTTCTTTTGCTCTTCCCTGATCACCCCAGGCACTGACAGTATCTCCTGGCACCCTGGCACCCTCTGATCCTTTGGCCTGGGTTGTGCATTCACTGTAGATAGCTTGACACTTTGCCTCCCCCCCTGGAGAGAAGCCATTTGAAAGCAGAGGGAAAGGGACCCCTGCCTCGGTCTCCGTACAGTATTTAGCAAAGAGCTACGCCCAGCTAGGCACTCGGCTTACTGCCATCTCCACACCTTTCCCCACACTGTGTGCCCTGACTGACCTCTGTCCCTGGTTGTTAGAGACACCGATTGTTTCTCCCCTGTCTTCCCCGGCCCTGGCAACAGTACCCCAATATATCATTGTGAAACCACAGTAAGATTTAACTGAGATGAGCCCCAGTTCATGCCAGTCAGTATCTACTTGCCCTGTGGCCATAGCGATCAGTTGAGAGACGGGCAAGTGACCCAGTCAGAGCCAATGCAATGCTTGACAGGACTTCTGGAAATGAAAAGCATTGTTTTTGTTTTTGTTTCTGAAGGGAAGGCTGGAGGAAATTCTGATTTCCCATGGGTAGTGTGGAGGGAAACCCAGAGGGTCAGCAAGGTGGCAGCTATCTGGGGATCCTGAAACCTAGCAGGGGCCACCTGGATGGGGGCGCCACGGGGAGCCTAAAGACTAAGAGAAATCTTGAGTCCTCGGGGTGCCGGTTTGCACTGCTGGATTGAACCGCACCTGAAGTGGCTCAACCTCTGGTCTACTGTTTAAATCCATTTGAGTTGTGTGTGTGTGTGTGTGTGTGTGTGTGTGTGTGTGTGTGTGTTTTCAAGATTTTATTTATTTTTTTTAATTTTTTTTTAACGTTTATTTATTTTTGAGACAGAGAGAGATAGAGCATGAACGGGGGAGGGGCAGAGAGAGAGGGAGACACAGAACCGGAAGCAGGCTCCAGGCTCCGAGCCATCAGCCCAGAGCCCGACGCGGGGCTCAAACTCACAGTCGGTGAGATCGTGACCTGAGCCGAAGTCGGACGCTCAACCAACTGAGCCACCCAGGCGCCCCTCAAGATTTTATTTTTAAGTAATCTCTACACGCAGTGTGGGGCTCAAACCTACAACCCAAAGATCAAGAGCCGCATGCTCTACCGGCTGAGCCGGTCAGGCGCCCCAAATTTGTATGGTGTTGAATGACTTATCAACAGTAGCCATTTGGCAATTTTTTTTTAAGTAGGCTCCACACCCAAGGTGGGGCTTGAACTCATGACCCTGAGGTCAAGAGTCGCATGCTCTACCGACTGAGCCAGGCAGACACCCCCCCCCCCAGTTGGGTGTTTGTTGCTATTGTTGTTTGTTGCACAAGCAAGACGCCTATATCTGCTATATCATCCCTCTCCTTTCTAACCACTGATCCCATGTCCTCTCTGCAGTCACAGGAAATCACATGAGTCGCTCCTCCTCTGGCCTTACCTTCCAGCACAGTGAGGGCCAGGGTCGGCGGGGACACAGGACAGGAGGCCCCTCAGGGTCATCGCTGAGGGCCATACCCGCACAGTCTTCATAGAAAAGGTGCAGATAGGAGCGGACCCCATACCATTTGCCGTCTTCCACGTTGGGGCTGCGGCTACAGCCGCAGGAACCGTCACAGTTTGGCATCATGGATCTCTGTGGAGGAAGCAAGGTGCAGTGGGCAGAGGGCCCAGTGAAACCCTCCCAGGCCCCCTGAATCTTTGTACCTCCTCCGCTCTTCCTCCCATTTTAGATAACCCACACTCGTAACACAGCCCGGCCTTCTAGATGCTGGTTTGTCTTTCCCTACATACACTGAATGAGCCAATGCGCAGGAACACTGAGCCCAGTGCTTGACAATTGTAGGTGCCAACAAATTGTACTTGTTTAGTCTGGAAGCCACCCAGTGGCTGGCACTGTGGATTCTGGAGCCTGACTGACTGGGTTGGAATCCCGGATCCACCACTTCCTGGCTGTGTGACTTTAGACAAATGGTTTCACCTCTCCAAACCTCGGTTTCCTCATCTGTAAAGCAAGGCTGATAATCACACCCGCTTCACACTGTACCTGAGGCCAAGGAATGGCAGCTGTTGTAGTTACTATTCCTGTAATTTCTTCATTATTATTTTTAATCCTAAACCTTTTGAGCTCCGTATCTGAAGTAAGAGGTTCTCATCCCTATCTCCCCTCAAAATCTTCCCCGTTTTCAGGGTACTCTTGGGGGTGACTGTCATGGCTGACACTTTGCCTAATCAGGCCGAGCTCCCAAGGTGCAAGGCTCTAAAAAAAAAAAAAATCCCTCCCCAGGGCTGCCCCTCACAAAGCAGCAGCCTCCAAGTCCCAGGAAATCTTGACTCCAGAGGTGGTGAAAGCCAGGGGCCCTCTGAGGCTCAAGGGTTGTTAGATTTCTAGGGAAACCTATCTAAGAGCCCCTCTTTTTTTTTTTAATTTTTTTTTAATGTTTATTTATTTTTGAGACAGAGAGAGACAGAGCATGAACGGCGGAGGGTCAGAGAGAGAGGGAGACACAGAATCTGAAGCAGGCTCCAGGCTCTGAGCTGTCAGCACAGAACCCGACGCGGGCCTCGAACTCATGGCCCGTGAGATCATGACCTGAGCCGAAGTCGGATGCTCAACCGACTGAGCCACCCAGGCGCCTTGAGCCCCTCTTTTTTAATAAGACGTTTTTATTGAGGTGTAATTGACATATAACGTCATATTAGTTTCAGGTATACAACATAATGATTTGGTATTTGTAATGATCGCCATAAGTCTAGTTAACATCTGTTACCATGCGTAGTTACCGATAAATTTCTTTCCTTGTAATGAGAACTTTTAAGAGCAACTCTCTTAGCAACTTTCAAATATGCAGGACAGCATTATTAACTGCAGTCACCATGCTGTACATCATGTCCTCATAACTTACTTGTTTTCTAACTGGAGTTTGTACCTTTGACCACCTTCACCCGTTTTGCCCACCCCCCACCCCCGCCTCTGGCAACCGCTAATCTTAAGAATCTCTCTTTTCAAAGATGGAGACACTGAGGACTGAGTCACGGAAAGTACTTGCGTATGCACACACAGAGAGGACTAAAACCAAAGTGGGGAATGGGGAGAGGGGTGGGTTGGGGGGAAGAGGGGTTTGTGAGGGGGACGGACTGGGCTCCTGCACCAACACCCCTGAACAGCTTCAAACAAAATAAAGCAAGGCACTTCTACTGAAAGATAAGATAAATTTCTAGCCCTCCCTCCCCCACATTTTCCAATCAATGTGGCCTTCAGTTTCCTGCACAGAGAGACTCACCAGCACACACATACACACACAGCACAGACAGGCGCGCGCGCGCGCGCGCGCACACACACACACACACATCAGAGACGCACAGATTGACGCACAGACACACAGCAACACGGATACACAAACATGGCAGAAACATACCCCCGCAGGCACACATACACCACATAGAGACACGGACAGGACACAGAAACAGACACACAGACACCCACATTCAAAGACACGCCACAGGGGCGCCTGGGTGGCGCAGTCGGTTAAGCGTCCGACCTCAGCCAGGTCACGATCTCGCGGTCCGGGAGTTCGAGCCCCGCGTCGGGCTCTGGGCTGATGGCTCGGAGCCTGGAGCCTGTTTCCGATTCTGTGTCTCCCTCTCTCTCTGCCCCTCCCCCGTTCATGCTCTGTCTCTCTCTGTCCCAAAAATAAATAAACGTTGAAAAAAAAATTAAAAAAAAAAAAAAAAGACACGCCACAGAGAAACAAGAACACACAAGGACACGCAGAGCGTAAGTGTGTGTTGGGGCGATTCTTGGAGGCCCCAGGGATCCACATAAGCGCCAGAAGGGCTCTTCTCAAGGCCTGTCTGTAAATCGCGGTTCTTCACCATCCTCACTCAAAACTCGGGGAAAAGGAAGAAAAGGAAAGGGCACAATTTTTTTTCTTTGGACAGAGGATGGGAAAAGGCATTGACCAAAAACGAAAGACGGAGGAAGAGGGCGAGTGGTCCCTGGAGAGAACAGGAATCTCCCTGAGAGGTGGGGGGCGGGGTTCCCAGGGGGTGTGGCCAGCGAGGGACCCGCCCCCCCGGCCGCGGCTCTCTGGAGGCCCGGGGTAGGGGGGGGGATGCATGGGGGCCAGAGGGGCAGTCAGAGGCAAAGCGGCGACTATTAAAAGACCCTAGGGGAAGGGGCAGGGAGGGGACGCCCCGGAATTGTTGGTCTGGATTAGCTCCTCCCCTGCAACTCTCACGGTCCCTCTCCCCCAAATACACCTAATCACTCAATCTTGCTGGCAATGGGGAAGGAAGGTGACCTTGGCGCTGCCTCCCCGTCGGCCTGGCCCCTCCTCCTCCCCTGCCGAGGTTGCGGGGAGGGGGTCGGGCGGCCAGGGGGAGGGAGAGGGAGGATGCTCGGGACACCGCGCGGATACCCGGGACGTGGGTTGCCATAGGAAACGCTGGGGAGGTGTCCCTAGGCGGGAGGAGGGAGGAGCTCGGCGAGGGGGTGAGCGGGAAGAGGAGGGGGCTGCAGAGTCCGGGGGGGGGGGGTGGGGGGGGGGGGAGAGACTGCGGCGGAGGCCGGCGGAGGGAGGCGTACGCGAGAGTGACAGGCGGGACGGCCTGAAGATGGATGGAAGCTCTCGCCGGCACGGCCTCGCTCAGTTCTCCTTCCCAGACCCCCAGACCCGCCCGCCTCAGTGTCCGGCGCAGCCCAGGCTGGGAGTAGGGGCTCCCTCCTGGGGGGCGAGGCCAGCGAAATCCGGCCAGTTCCTCCCCTCTCTCCACCGCACCATTGTTTCTGACCGGACCACCAGTTCCCTGGGCGAGATTAACTGCATCCTTTCTCCCAGGGGGAAACCGAGGCACGGAGGGGTGGGGATGGGTTTTAGAGAGGTGGCTACGGGTCTTGTCCTCTGAAGCCTCCTCCCATCCTCTCAGCCCTGAGGGGTCTCTGGGCGAGGCGGCTGGTGAGACCTCTGCCCCCTGCTGCTTCTCTGGGACCTCACCTCCTAAAGCCCGAGGCAACGCCGAGGCTTGGGCGCCGCCGTCCCGTCCGGGGCTGGACGTGGCCGTGCTGGGGATGCGGGCGGGGGTGGGGTTCCCCGGAACCCGGGAGAAGGCGGAGTGGGGGGTCGGGCCCCGCGCGGAGCAGGGCTGAGCTCACCTCTCTGCCTGCGGTCTCCGCGGAGCGGGAGCCGGAGCGAGAGAGCCGAGCCGAAGCTGGTTCTGTCGGCGCCTGCGCCGCAGTCGGGGGCGGGGGTGACACGAGGGTGGGAGGGGGGCGCCCGCCCCACGGCCTGGCTCTGCAGATGGCGCACCCCTGCAGGATGGAGAGCCCCTGTCTTTTTCCAGAGTTCCCTTCTCTCTCTGAGACCCCAGACCCCTCGCGGAAACCCCCAGGCCTCCCTGGAACCCACCCCCTCCCGCAGCCCCTGAAACTCCACATCTGACTCTCCATCACTCCCTCAATCTCCCATCCCTCTGCCTGAAGACCCTCGCCTTCGCTGAGCCCTCACTTCCTCCTTGTAGCCTCACTCCCCTCCCTGGGTCTCCGTCCCCTGCGTGGAGCCCCTAAGCCAGTAGACAAACGCTCCTCTTGCAGAGCCCACCCCGCCCCCTTCTCCAGAGACTCCAGCTCTCTCTCTCTCTCAGCCCTCACCCATGGCCGAGCCCCATCTCGCTCTCAGGAGCCCCCTGCCTCTCCCTGGGGCCCTCACCTCTCACTGAGTCCCCCATCCTCTCTCCACTCTCTTTTCCTCTTTGAACCCCTGTCCCTTGCTAAGGATCAGCCCCTCTCATCTTGAGAAGGGAGCTGGGGTTGGGGAGAAGGGGTTGGGAGAGAAGCTTCATGTCTCGTTCTTGCTTCGAACCTACCGCGAGTTCCGCCCTGGGCGGCGCGTGCCTATGGCCCATCTCTCTGGACAGCCAGGCCTTGGCAGTTGTGTCTACTTCATTCCTTGTCACGTGCCCACAGCCTTGGTTTTGCCCCACACTTGCTGCTGTGTGCTCTTAGGAAAGTCACCGCACTGCTCTGAGCTTCTTCGGGCACCATTGCACAAACATGCCTTCATGCCTTGAGCATGCATTCTTATCTCTCCATGTGCTGGGGGCAGGGACACAGGGATGAATGAACTCTGCGAGATGAGGCCAGATCTTTTTCGTTCACTGCGGTATCCCAGAGCCTCACGTATTGCTTGGCATTGAGTAGGCAGCTCAACAAACAAACATTCACTGAACACAGACTAGTAATAGTAACAAATAGATGCTGCTTGTTATGTGTGAAGGGCTTGTCTAAGTGCTTTACATGTACTACTTACTCTAACTATGTGTGTGTGAGAGAGACAGAGGTAGGCAGACAGACAGATGCACAGAGACAGGAAGTCCTGGAGCCCCAACCTAAGGCCTCAAAGAGCGACAGGAGGTGAAACTGAAGAAGCATTGGAAACGACCTGTGCTGGTTTAAAAACATGGCGACAAATTCTTCAGTACCCTCTGTTAGTATCTTGGGTGAGCTGATGACTGCCTGGGACAAGTGAGGCTCTGACTCCCAAGGCTAGGACATAAAAGAACATGCAGGGGGGCGCCTGGGTGGCTTAGTCGGTTTGGGCATCTGACTTTGGCTCAGGTCATGATCTCGCCGTTCATGAGTTCGAGCCTCGCGTCAGGCTCTGCGCTAACAATTCAGAGCCTGGAACCTGCTTCGGATTCTGGGTCTCCCTCTTTCTCTGCCCCTCCCCTGCTCATGCTGTCTGTCTCTGTCTCTCAAGAATAAATAAACGTTAAAAAAAAAAAAAAAAAAGGACGTGTACTTCCCCTGGAACTCTAGCTCTTGGAGACGAGAGGAGCCATGCAAGAAGTCTGTTTACCTTGAGGCTGCCATGCTGTGAGGAAGCCAAAACCACACGGAGAGCCCACGTGAAGCGACCATTCCCAGCAGACCTTGCTCTTTCAGTCATTCCAGTTCAGGCATCAGGTAAGTGAGTGAAGAAGCAACCAGATGATTCCAGTCCACAGCTGTTCAAATCAGTTTCAGCTCCGATGGTAGTGGAGAGGGTTCTGGAAGTTCTGGAGGCAACAGGAAGGGATGAGGTCAAGCGTACAGGAGGATAGGCTGGCCTTGAGCCAGCACAGGAAGGATCCAGTATTCTCTGAAACCCAGGGAAAGGAGAGAGGGTGGCCACTGAGAAGAGATACAGGGTAGTGGTTGTGAGTTGAACTCTGGAGTCTTTCAGGTCCAGGTGTGAATCTTGGTTCTGCCACTTGGTACTTCCATGATTTAACGGCTCTGAGCCTCAGTTTCCCTGACCGTAAAATAGAGGTAATATTAGTAGTTGCCTCTCAGAAGAGTTGTAAGAGTGAAATGAGATGTTCATATAAGATCCTTAGGGTAGCACCTGGACCAGAGTAATAACTCAACAAATTGTCCCTAATACTCGTATGGTCACCTTAGTTTATAGGTGATGAGGGTAGGAAGTTGAGTGACAAGACATCTGATAAATCGAATGCTCTGGAGAAAAACAAGAAACATCATCCACTAAGAGGAAGGTTTATGGGTGGCTCAGTCAGTTAAGCGGTTAAGTGTCTGACTCTTGATTCTGGCTCAGGTCAGGATCTCACGGTTCATGGGTTCAAGCACCATGTTGGGCTGTGCGCTGACAGTGTGGAGCCTGCTTGGGATTCTCTCTCTCCCTCTCTCTCTCTGCCCCACCCCTCCTTGCATTCTCTAAGCAAACAAACAAAGAAACAAACAAACTTAAAAAAAAAAAAAGAAAGAGGAAGGTTTTAGGAGTACCGGATGGCTCAGTCAGTGGAACATGCAACTCTTGGATCTTGGAATTGATCTTAATTACTTTAAATTTTTTAAACAGTCACATGTGGCTAGTGGCCATCATATTGGACAGTCAGATGTCGGTGGGACAAATTTGCTGCCAAACTTGATCGTGGGGTAGTGAGTTTGAGCCCTACGTTGGGTTTAGAGGTTACTTAAAAAATAAAATACGAAATAAAAAGAAAGAGAAAGTTTTAGTTCAACAGGAGGCTTAAAAAGGGTGGTGAACCAGCCACAAAAGGCCATATATTGTATGTTTCCATATATATATGAAATACCCAGAGTCCGAAAATCCAGAGACAGAAAACAGATTAGTGGTTCCTAGAGGCTAGGGGAAGGGAGGAATGGAGAGTGACTGCTTAATGGGTTTCCTTTCAGAGTGATGGAAATATTCTAGAACGAGATAGCGGTGATGGATGCACAACATCGTGAATGTACTATCATTAGGGAGAAATTTTATGTTATGTATGTTTTACCACAATTTTTAAACGGTGGTAAAGATTTGGAATGATCAGTAATAATGATGGTGGTGGTGGGGACAGATATCACTTACTGAGCATTTACTATGTGCCAGGGTAATTTATCTTCTCAGCAACCTTATGACGCCACGTGCCTGAGGTCATTCAGTCACAATGTGGCAGAATCTGAATTTGCTCTGATGGCTCTGAGGCCACGATCTGTAGAGGCCACAGCGTGCGTGGCTGTGACTTTCTTCGGCAGTGTCAGGAGACCTGGGAATGAAGAAAGAGGAGAAAGAGGCTGCTGGTACCCCAGCTCCTGGGGTAGGTCCTCCTGGACAGGTGGGGCACAAGATGCAGGGGTTCCAGACGGAGGAGCTCAGTGAGGTCCAAAAATAGCTGGATGGGAAGAAAGGGAGTCTGAGGTCAGAGTGTGGGATATTGTAGTCAAAGACTTTAGATGTAGAACCCGGTAAGAGGTGAGAAGGTTCACTAAGCCAGTGCTATCCGATAGAAGTTTCTGCAAAGAAGGGAATGTCCTAGATCTGTGCTGCCTGAACAGGCCATATTTAGCTCTTAAGCATTTGCAATGGGGCTAGTGTGACTGATGAATCGAATTTTATTTAACCTTATTTATTTAAATGTTTATTTTTGAGAGAGAGAGAGAGAGAAGTGGGGGAGGGGCAGAGAAAGAGGGGGACACATGATCTGGAGCAGGCTCTGTGCTGACAGCAGAGAGCCTGATGTGGGGCTCCAATTCATGAGCTGTGAGATCATGACCTGAACTGAAGTCGGATGCTTAACCAACTGAGCCACCCCAGCACCCCTTTATTTATTTATCTATTTATTTGGAAGTATGATTTACACCCAACGTGGGGCTTGAACTCACGACCTGACATCAAGAGTCACACGCTCTACCGACTGAGCCCCCCAGGTGCCCCCTAACCTTAAGTACTTTTTAAAAAAAATTTTTAAGTTTATTTATTTTGAGAGAGACAGAGACAGCACGAGTGGGGGAAGGGCAGAGAGAGAGAGGGAGAGAGAGAATCTCAAGCAGGCTCCCAGCAGCCAGCGCGGAGCCCGATGTGGGGCTTGAACTCACGAAACCATGAGATCGTGACCCAAGCTGAAACCAAGTGTCGGTCGCTTAACCGACTGAGCCACCCAAGCGCCCCAACCTTAATTACTTTAAATTTAAGTTTAAATAGTCACATGTGGCTAGTGGCCACCTTATTGGACAGTCGGGTGTCGGTGGGACAAACTTGCTGCCAGGGCCCTACTTTGGGCATGACTGCCATCTCAGACTCCCATCATCTATCCCTTTTCACCTAGTGCTTGCCCTGCCCCCCTATTGGGTCCCTTCTCTACACTGTAGCCACAGGGATCCTTAAAGCATGAGTCAGATTCTCATAGGGGAGCCTCATTCCCTGCCCCAAACCCTGTACTGACATCTCATCTTACTCAGGGTAAGAGGGAGAAAACTGGTGGAATAAATATGGCCACGAACTCTCAGTCCCTTTGCCCTTCAAGAGCTGGAGTTTATTTCTCTTCAGAGCTGGCCCTGGCGACTGCTTCAACCAACCCAGTGTGGTGGGAGCAATGTCGTGCCTGTTCTGGACTTAAGCTTTCAAGAAGACCAGCTTCCTCTTCTCCCTCTTGGGACACTCCCTTCTGGAAAGCTCCTTCTTGGACTCCAGTCCCCACGCTGAAGACGCCCAAGCCACATGGAGAGGCCACACCCTGGTGCTCCTGCTGGCACCCCCAGACAAACTCCCAGCCCGCAGCTAACACCAAACACTGCACTGAATGAACAGCATCGTGTAAGTGAGTCATCTTAGACGTGTAAGCCCACTCGAGCCCCCAGATGACATCACGTGAGCGGAATTATCCCATTGAATCCCGTAAACCCACAGTATCTTGAGAGAGAATAAA